TGTGTGCATGGGGAGACAGAATTTTGTGATGGCGGAAGCATGTGGCAAACACTGCAAACCTCGTGGTAGAAAGGAAATAGGTAGGAGGGAGAGACTGGAATCCAGGGACAACTTTCAAAGGCACACTCCCAGCGAACTACTTTCTTTAATCAGGCCCTGTTTCCAAAAGGTTCCCCCACTTTCCAAAGTAGTACCTGTTGCTTGGGAGTACGAGTTTATCAAACAACACCTGAGCATGTTGGAGATGCTTCCTATTCAAACCATAACAACATGTATTCATGGTGACCACCAGTGATATTTATTTGGAGATTCTTCACAGCATTTTCCTCACTTGAACTTTTTATAATAGCAGGTTCAAATAATGTATTTTGGGGTCAAATGTTCGAAGCAACAGCTATTTTCTATGAAAATAAAGACTTAAAAATATTGTCCCAATATATAGTCAGGCTTTTATATCCTAAACAATGTTACAAGCAAAAATGTCAGAATGATTAAATCACTTAAATTTATAATTTATCCTAAATATTACGTCCTCCTAACACATGTGTGCTTGACAACACTAGCTACAAAGGCATGTGAGAGAAGCTTGGAAATATAACAGAGACTATCATAGAGCATTAAGAAAACACACTTGGATCATCACCTCTCTCTTTTCCTCCAAATCCAGTTCCCAGTCTCCTCCCCAGCTCTGTAGCAGACCACCTGCTGTAGCCTCCCCATCTTTCCTGACCCCCATTTCCAACCGATCACTTAGACCTTCTCCTACAACCTTCCTCCCCCGACTCACCCCACTGTCCAACACCAGCTGATATTTCCTTGAAACACACCGTATAGGCCAGGGAGACAGGTAGGCTAGCTGCACATCTTCACCTTCCCCGTTTCCTCCAGTCTCATCCCCACCTCTGTAGCAAACCACCAGGTACAGCTTTGCCTCCCTTCTTGTCTCCAATCCAATGGCTCACACAGATCTCCCCCTCCATCATTCTTCCCTTGACACCTTCCTTTATTCAAGCTCCCAACCCCAGCAGGCACTCCCTGGGAACCCACAGGTGACTCCAACCAAGGAAGCAGGGAGTGTAACAGTGGATCCTCACCTGTCTCTCCTCTCATCCAAACCAATCTCCCATTCCCACCCCACTCTCAGGAGCAGATCATCTGCTGCAGCCTCCCCATCTTCTCTTCCTCCATTCACAGCAAATCAAGCAAGTCTTCTTTTCCAGCCTTCCTCCCGACTCATCCTGTTACCCCAGTCCCAAACTCCAACAGGCATTTTCTGGGGCAATACCAGCCAAGCCTGCTGGGGAAGTGAGTTGACCAATGAGGCAGGTAGGCAAACTTCAGATATTTCCTCTCCCTCCTCTCTTCCATATCCAATCATCCAGTATTATCCCCAGCTTTGTAGCAAACTACCTATTGTGGCTTTTCCTCACTCTCTGCCCCATTCCCAGGGAACTAAGCAGATTCTGGTGGAACATCTTCCTTTCTTCTCTCCTGTGGATTCCCTCAGCTCCTCATCTAGCCTCTCTCCATTCCTAAGTGTCAGCTCAATGTGGTGATATTGTGTATCCTAATAAAATTTGCCTAAAGATCAGAGAACAGAATAAATCACTAAATTAAACATAGAGGCCAGACAGTTGTAACTGCAAGTTTTCCTGTACCCACCGGGCTCTCATATCCTCACGGTCCCACAGCTGCTCAGACCCAAGTAAACACAGAGGCTTATATTAATTAACTGCTAGGCCATTCCCATTAGACAGTAGTGGCACACACCTTCAATCCTAGCACTTGGGAGGCAGAGATCATCTGGATCTCTGTGAGTTCAAAGCCACCCTGGACTACATGAGATTGACTCAGTCTAGGAGAGAAACAGAGCCAGGCACATACTTTTAATCCCACTACTTGGGAATCACATGCCTTAAATTCCAGCACTAGGAAGGAAGTGATATGGCTGGGCAGAGAAAGGTATATGAGCAGTGAGGAGACAGGAACTAGAAGCCTTTTGGCTGAGGAAGCTCATTCGGCTAGAGGCCTATTGGCTGAGGCTTTTCAGGATGAGGAGTCCTAGAGGTGAGATGTGGCTTGCTCCTTGTCTCTCTAATCTTTCAGCATTTACCCAATATCTGGCCCCGGTTTTTTTTTTTTTTTTTTTTTTTTTTTAAGACCATTTAACATTCCAGTTACAGCTCCCAAGACAAAAATAAATAAATAAATAAAAAATAAAAAAATGCAAGCACAAAGCCTTGGGGCTACAATGGTGTCCTGCCTACAAGATAAGCTGGTGCAATGGCGGTTCAAAGCTTGTGGGAGTAAACAGCCAGTATCGGATTCCATTGAAAGCCCGCCCACTCAGTGAGAAGGGAGCCGCACCCAGCGCTGCTTGGGTGACAGAGAACCTGAGACTAGATAGCCCAGACCTAGGGTAAAACCAAATACTACTGTTTTGATTTTTTAAGTACACTAAAATGTCATACTGCTATATGCATAGCTCAGTGCCTTGCTCAGCCATCATCACAGACATTTCCTCCTGCAGCAGATGTGAACAAATGTAGCAGGAATCGTAACAGGTCTTATTAATAAAATCAAACCTGGAGCCAAGTATTGGGGTGAACACTGGAAGATCAGAGAGACAGAACAAGCCACAGCTAACCTCACCTGGCCACCTTCTCAGCTGATCTTGTTTCCTCAGACTGGAAGCCTCTGTGTCCTCATATCCCAATAGCTCTCAGCTGAACTGTGCTGCTCAAAACCTAAAAGTTTAACCAGCCAAATGCTATTAGTTTCTGGTCCTCACACTTTATATATCTTTCTGCTTTCTACCATCACTCCCTGGGATTAAAGGCGTGAGTCACCATGCTTGGCTGTATCCTTGAACAGATGGATTTCTGCCTCTGGAATGATAGGATTAAAGGCGTGTGCTACCACTGCCTATCCTATGTATCTAGTGGCTTTTCTGTTCTCTGATCCCAGATAAGTTTATTAGGGTACACACTATTTTGGGGAACACAATACCACCACAAACAAATACAGAGACTCACAGCTTGACCTTATGTAAAGAGTGAGAGGTATTAGAAAACTCAGCCCTAAAAGGGATGTCTCCCTTAAATCCCTCCCCTTGAGGCTCTGTAGAAGGGGAGGCAAGAAGAGTGTAAAGTCAGAAGGGATGGAGGACACCAGGCAAACTAGGCCTTCTAAGTCAACAGGATCCACATGCATATAAGCTCACAGAGCCAGGCAGTATATACTGGGCCTCCATAGGTCTGTACCAGATGGGGTCCTAGAGTTGAAATGAGAAGTGGACACATGCCTCAGTCTCTAACCCAGAAGCCACCTCCAATTGAAAATCATTTGCACAAGAAAATTTAGTTTCCTCCAAGGGAGGCTCCCAGGGAAAACAAACTACTTTTAAGGGTGGGCTGCATGCCCAGTAGTTGATGGCCAACGGACAATGAACTCAATGGCATCTTTGGAGTTTCTTTGTCTCATAGTGTTGTACCAGGGTTTGCACTTTCTTTTTTTTAATTTTATGCTATTTTTGCTTTACTTTATATGTTTTTTTCTTCCTTCTTTTTACCCTACAGATCTTTGCATATATGTCATGGCTTCTAGTTGACTGCTTTGATGGGATTCTTGAGTGTGCAAAGGAGCGGTTCTCTGCTCCTGTATCTGTTTCTTGTGCCTTTTCTTCAGCCTTTTTCCTTCTGTTTGTTTGCTTTGTCCTGTTCCAATGTGTTAGTTTTTATCTTGTTAGATTTTATTTTGTTCTTATCCCTTAGAAACTTATGTGTTTCTAATGAGAGACAGAGACGGTGTGGGTCCTTATGGGAAAGGAGGTAGGGAGGAACTGGGAAATGGTAATTAGGATACATAATTCGAGAAAAAGAAATCTATTTTCAATAAAAGGAAAAAATTAACAACAAAAAGAAAAGAAAATTACATTTGTGAGTGGAAGAGACAAAGAAGCAATTATAACATAATAGAATTATTGCTGCACTAAACAGACAAGTTGGGTTATTTGCGAATAGAAATTGCCCAAAGTCTGGCACAGTTAGAGCTGACCAGATACAGATGCTTAGTGAAGGGTGAGGGTTGGAAATGACCATGATCTGTGAAGTGGAAAAGGGAGGAAATAGCCCCATAGTGTGCAGACCTAAGAAATGCCAGAGGAATGACTTGATTCTGTAGATAGTTGGAAGGGAAAGGAGAAAGTGGTAAACTTAGAATTCTGGGTACACAAATTGGGTTTTCTTACAGAGTTGATGAACACATACATTTCACTTGAAAGAGTGCAATAGGAATAAGGGAGTCTGTACAATTTATGGGAGGCTTGAGTCCGTGCTCTAAAAACCATCAACAAGTAGATGTTGAAACAAACAGTGGGCAAAAGAAGATTATACAAAGAACCCCCCAGAGACTAAATTATTAGATGACAATCGAAGCCACAAAGTAGGATTATAAAAGTCAAGGTTAGAAAATGTGTCCTGAGGAGATAAAGAGAGGACTCAGGAAATAGCTGGGTGGCAGAGTCCCTGTCTAGCATGACCCAAACCCTGGGCTCTGTTCCTATCACCACATACACTAAGTGTGGTAGAGTCATACACAACTGTAATTCCAACACACTCAGGAGGTGGGGGCAAGAGGATAAGATGTTCATGATTATTTCTTCTGTCTATACTGTGAGCTTGAGTGTTGTCTGGGATACATGGGATCCAGAAAGAAAGAAAGGAAGGAAGAGAAGGATGGAGGAAGGGAGGGAGGAGGAGAAGGAAGAAAGAGAGAAAGAAAGAAGGGGGAAGGAAGGTTGGACAAGGAAGACAGGAAGGAAGGAAGGAAGGAAGGCAGGCAGGCAGGAGAGAGGAGTGAGGGAGAGAGAAGATAAATCTGGAGGAGGATTAGTTTCATAAAGAGAAACAAAAGACAACAGAAACCACAATAGACTGGAATGAATAAAAATTAATGCAGGGCTGTTCCCTCTCTCTCTACCTCTCCACCAACTTCTTCAGAAACTATCATTCACCATCCACTGAGGTCCATCACGTCTGCTGCTGTGATAAACCCTCTGACTGTAATGCAACTTGTGGAGGAAAGAGTTTATTGGACTTACAGATTTCAGTTCATCATCATGGGAAAGCCCAGGCAAGAACTCAAGCAGGTACATGGAGACCATGGAATTGGAGCTCTCCTTATTGTTTAAGGAATAGGAAATAGACTGTTTGAGACACTTGGGACATGTCAAAAACAAAACACAGCAAAACCTCTGCTTTAGGGAAGCAGCATCCATCCTGAAACCAGAAAGCAGACAAAAACAGGACAGGTAAGCTTTAATAGAATGAATAATGAGTGAGATATGAATGCAAGAAAAAGAATGCATGCCAGAACAGAAGTAATTCCTCTATATGAGACCATCACAGCTTAGCAACACAAGACACTGTAAATGTCCAAATGTTTGTCCTCAAGATCAAGCAGTTAAGTGAGAGAAGTTATTACTGAAGGTTTTCAGGTAAAAGCTCCTGCACTAGCAATCTTAACAAGTTGCATAGATCCATCCATGCATCTTCAATATGCTAATTAAAGAAACAAAGTGACAACAGACAAAATTTATCCAATGTAGCCACACTGGAAAGAGGAACAAATAAAGGACTCCACAGACCATCCCACTCACCCCCACCTCCCAAGTTTTCAGAGTAATGACATAAGATTCAGTGGTAATGCACACCTTTAATCCCAGCACTCAGGAGGCAGAGCCAGGCGGATCTCTGTGAGTTTGAGGCCAGCCTGGTATACCAAGTGAGTTCCAGGAAAGGTGCAAAACTACACAGAGAAACCCTGTCTTGAAAAACCAAAAAAAAAAAAAAAAAGATTCGTTTTTAAATAGAAGTCAAGAGGGATATATAATCAAGCTGCAAGCTGTACTGGTCATTGTGTGGTCCCTCCCATCATCCATCTATCATTTGTCTTGGCTCTGGACTGTACAGCATGAAGGTCCTCAAGGTGGTCTTATAAGTTGGTAGAATTCTGTGGAATCTCTTCCTGAAAGGTAAGTTCCTTCTCTGCCTGGCACCAGCTCTTCAGTCTTTTCCTTCTCCCAGCAAGAAATTCCTCGGGAAATTACATTTCCTGGGACCCATTTCTTCAGTGGTCTGATAGCCAAGGCAAAGGGCAGAAGTTTCTGTTTAAAATATCTTTTCTACCTCTCTCCCAGTTGCTGTTGCCAAGAGGCAAGAAAAGATATCACATAGCCTACCACCATCCTAGGAAGGATCAAAATTCTAAATCTTAAATCCTCTTTCTACTGAATGCAGCTGGCTTCCACTCCCAGGTACAGTGATAAATGATAGGTCCATTCAATATAAATCAGGGATTATTCATCTGTGTCCTCAGTGTTATTAATCTCCTTTTTCAGCCCTACTTTCACCACATTCCACATTTTTTGGAAGCCGTGCTTTCATTTAGTTAGGAATATTTTTTCAGTTCCTCTGGAGATTTCTTCTTTGACCTGGATGTTAATTTAAAAGTAGTTGTTTAATCCAACAGTAACTGGGTGCTCTCAGCCTCCATCTACCCTTTCATTCCCACTTAGCTCTGGAAGGCACTTATGATCTTTATTTCTTTTAAATTGCAAGTTTTTAATGGCCCAAAGTTGTGGTGTCTCTTGGGGAATGTTACACGTGAGCTCGGCTAACATGTGTGCTGTGTTCCTGACGGGTAAATTTCTTTGTAAATGTTACTTACATCCTGTTGACTGGGGACAGTGTTGAATTCAGCTGTCTGCAGATTTTCTGGCTGCTGGATCTGTTTGTTTCTGATAGCATGACCTTAAAGTTTCCAACTGTAATAGATAGCTCGTCTGCTTGTCTTTGCAGTTCTTGCTGCTTTCTCCCATATGTTTTGATGTGTTTGTTGTTGAATGAAGACATATTGCAGGCTGTGATGTAGTCATGGTAACTGACCCTTTAATAATAACAAAATGTACCTCATTTATACTTGATGACTTTCCTTAACATGAAATCCATCTTATCTGAAATCATGTATCTATCATGTTCTTTAACTGCTATAAGCATGTGACTTATATTTTACTCCTTTGTTACACTTAATGTAAATTTTCAGTTAACAATAACATGAGTCTTTTGCTTATCTGTTATTTGGTCCACCTGACAGTCTTTAATCACATTAAGTTTACTGGCATTTGGAGTGGTTACTATTACACTTAGATCACATCTACCATATTTGTTACTGTTTCCTAGTTATCAATATTCTTTCTCCTTACTTTTGTACAATTCCGTGTGTGTGTGTGTGTGTGTGTGTGTGTGTGTGTGTGTGTGTGTGTGTGTGTGTGTGTGTGTGTGTGTGTGTGTGTGTATGTGTGTGATTTCAATTGGGCATTTTTTCTACTCTTTCCTGTCTGTAGCATATTCACTAATATATACAAACACATACACATATATATATAAACTTATACATATGTATATATGTGTATGTGATTTCTGTGATTAGAAAGTGATAGGCCTCAGAATACTTTCCTGTAATGTTTGACCTTTCTGCGGTTGTTGATAATGTATTTTTGTCCTTACTGTATAGTGTTCTCTGTGTTTGATACATCTGTGGTTTGGTTTTTGTCATTAGTAATGTGAGGAAATTGTCAGTAATTGTTACTTCCAATAGTTTTTTTCTGTTCCTTCCTGTAGTGGGTAGCCATTCCAGCTTGGTTCTGGAAGTTCTAATCCCCATTGAGACTCTGGCAACTGTCACGCCTACGAGGCGGGGTGAGGGGAGGCGCCTGGGGACCCGAGAGCTGGATGGGCCAGCGCTCGCTTTGGCCACTCCACGTAGTTAAAAGGATATTTATTTAATGGCGTAACTCACAGATAGGTATAAGATATGATGGTAAATCATTGTATATACTAGTAAACAAACTTAGTAAAATAACAACCTTAGACAATTTGCACTGTAATTTGTACTGTTATAGATTCTTATATGTTGATACAAATGTAAACTATTTTTATACTCCTGTTTAAGATAACATTTTTATATTGATACAAATGTAAATTTATATCTGTCATACTTTATATATGCTCTACTTCTGTTTAGGATATTCGGTATATTGATATATATTTAAGATTATTGTCATATTGCATATTGCACTATATACTCCTACCTCTGTTATAAATATCTTGTGTATTGTCACAATTTTGAAGTCATC